GGCGGGTGGTCCGGTCGGTCGGGCGCCCCTCCTAGCCTAGGAGCAGCGGTAAGCCGGTGACGGAGGAGCCGAGCGCGGGGCGCGGGCAGATTTGCATGCTAGATCTCAGCCGGCTGCTGCCTGGAGAGCCGGCTGGACCCAGCGGGCTGACCCCGGCAAGCCCAGGAGAGAGGGTCCGAGTGTTTCTCTCAGCCGCTGCCACTTCCCACAGGAGCGGGCTGACCGACGCCGGCTCGTGGACACTGAGATGTGCGGACAGGGAAACACCTTCATTAAGGCCTTTCAGCTCTGCCACGGGCCCGGCCCGTGCGCCCGGTTGGTTTAGTGGTGCCCTGGGCACGAAAAGGCCGTTTCCATCCCGGCCAGGGTGCGCCGGGTCTCCGGGTTTGTCCCCGTCGGGCGCACGTGGAAGGCATTCGATGGAGGTTCTCTCTGCCCCTCTCTAAGCATGTCCTCAGGTGAGGATTAAAAAAAAGAAACATAAACCCTGTCATGGAGTTAGTTATGCTTTAGTTTGAGCGCAAAGATCATGGCAAGTCTAGAAGAAGAGTGTCAGCGCGCGCCGTTTAAGGCCTGCGGGCCGCAGGAGCCGACCCGCCCGCGCCGCCCGTCCCTCCGCTGCTCTAGGCCGCCGCTTTCTCAGCCCCAGTCAGTATCTCCAGCGCGAGCGATGCATCTGATGCTTCCTTTTTCTTTTTCAGTATATCTTTATTGATCTCAGAGGGAGGGAGAGGGAGAGATGGAAACATCAATGATGAGAGCCACTGATCGGCCGCCTCCTGCGCGCCCCCTGCTGGGGGTCGAGCCACAGCCGGGCCTGTGCCCTGACCGGGAATCGAACCGCGATCTCCTTGATCCCAGGTCCACGCGCAACCGCTGAGCCACGCGGGCTGGGCTACATCTAATTTTTTCCATCCGTCTTTTATTACAGCAGAAGTTTTAAAAGACCATGTTTTACAAAAAATAGTAACCAGCGGTAAAAAAAAAATCTCACTAGGGCATGTAAAGAATGTTCTTCTAAGGGAAAGTGTAGTGAAATACAATATGTATGTAAAACTTGTTTAGTACCATTGCATGTAAGATACATGTTATACAACATATCACACTCAAAAAATATTTTTAAAAATAAATAAAATATTTAAAAATATTAAAATATGTGCAATATGTTTAATTTCAATATGGTAATATAAATATAAGATATGACAAAATAAAGATATGACATTTAAGTTTATTCAGATGCTTTCATTTAATATTCAAGGACTGAAAAGTAGCCGGCCACATGGGTGAGTTCTGGCTTGAAATAGCTGGTCAGCATTAATTATAATAAAATTTTTTCTAGTGGTTGGGATGCAAACATTTGTCCATTTTGTGTTGTTGGTAAAATGACATGTGAATTATCTGTGAACACAAGCAATAGGTGCAAGAATACCTGGTTAGTATTTATTTTGATGTTATTCCAAATAAATAAAGAAGTCTAAATCATTTTCCTTCATGTCACGAGGTTTTTATGATTATCTGATCAAGGCTCAGTTTTACTTTTATCCCATTCCAGCTAATGCAAGAGTTAAAAAGCAAAGACATCAGCCAAACATTCCGAAAAATAATTAACAAGAGGGAAGGGATTACTGCCATTGGAGGAACCTCGTCCATCTCCAGTGAAGGCACACAGCACTCCTATTCAGGTAACCTCCACTCCACATCCGATGGTCATTGATTCATCCAGAAAGTCTCATATTCATCAGATCTCAGATGCCATTTATTGTAATTCACACCATTGTTTTGTGCACCGTTGAGGGAAAATCAGACTAAATTATAACATGCCATCAAATTTGAAATGCTTCTTAATTTCAGAGATATCAGAATGAAAAATCCTAAAGTCATAGAAATCAATGAGTTCCTACTATGTGTCAGGTGCAGTGCACAGCAAAGAGATTAGCAGCAACAAAAAGTGTTACTTATTTTCAGCATTGACTGTTTAATCATAACCTTTGAACGGCTTTTTCACCCTGACGTGAGTTTCCCTTGGGCTGGCCCTAGGGCTGTGTGGAGAGGTTGGTTGCAAGGACTTTCCCCTCTGTGTCCGGGAGCTGAGATTCCTGGTGCACCTTCTGTGGAGCATGCGGGACTGGAGAGCACAGAGCCTGATTGCTGGAGCTGATAGGGTCACTGGGTTGTTGCCTAGTGACAAATCCAGAGTCACAGTCACTCAAGATGAGATGCCTTGCCCCAGGTTAGCTCACCTCTCAGGGTGGAGGTGTCTGAGAGCCTTTGGCCAAGTTCCCTTCGTTCGTATTACCAGAACATAATTAGAACCATGATTTTAAGATTTTTAACAAAAACTCACTGTAACTTCTTTCGTCTCCTGCCTTTGCGACCTAACTGTTAAGTGTCCTCTTGACTCTCTTCCTTTCTAACTGGACTTTCCTCAGGTAACGCGCTTGCCGTTCTCCCACCCGTTGCGTTGTTTCCTCCTCTTTTCCCGCTAGGGTGCTTAGTGGGGAAGGCAGTGGCCTATCGCTGCTACCTCCACTTTTGAAAAGGTATGTGCTTTTTGACTCACTTTCTGCCTGTCCATTTTAATGAAAAGGCTTCTTCCTTTTTTAAAAAAAACCCTTTTTATTGAGGTAATATATACATTTAGAAAAGTGCTGTGATCCTGAGTGTACAGCCCCATGAATTTTTACATGTGTATCTACATATCCTGTAGCAACTATGTAGCTGCCACCCAGATCAAGATATAGCACCTCTGACTCCTGAGTAGTTCCCTCCTGTCTCGCACAGTAACTATTCCTCCCTGGAGGTAACCACGTTCCTGATGTCTGTCACTCTGCCTTTTTTTTGGTTGTTTATTAAGGTATAAAATACACATAGTTAAGTACATAAAGTGCACTATTCCTAAGTATATGGTTTGATATTTTTTTACATATGAATACACCCATGTAACTACTATCTAGAACGAGATATAGAACATTTAATGGCTTTAAAAATAAAATAAAGAACAGCTTTATTGAGATATAATCGAGATAGCATGAAATTTGCCCTTTTGAAGTATACAGTTCAGTAGATTTTAGTATATTCACAGAGTTGTACAGTCATCGTCACTGTCTAATCCAGAACCCTTCCATTACCCCGAAGAGAAATCCCATGCTCTTTAGCAGTCACGCCCACCGCCCGCCCCCAGCCTCTGGCAGCCACTGATCTACCTCCTGTCTCTATAGATCTGCCTGTTCTGGACATTTCATATCAACAGAATCATACAGTAGTGCCTTTTACCTGACAGGCTTCTTCTTTGGCACGATATTTGCGAACATCCTTTGTTGTGCTTCCTTGGGTTTTGTTGCTGAATGATGCCCTGTTCTGTGGAGAGTGCTGTTCGTCCATCCACCAGAGGACAGGCACTCGGGTGGTTTCCACTTTCTGGCTGTTATGGTGATGCTGCGTGAACATTTGTGTTTCCATTTTTCTGTGGACATGCGCTTGAATTCTCTTAGGTATATACCCAGGGGTAGAATTGCCAGGTCATATGGTAACTCTTGCTTAGCATTAAATAAACCTGTCAAACTGTTTTCCAAAGTGTCTGCACCATTTTCCATTCCCATGAGCAGTGTATAGAAGTTCCAGCTTCTCCACTTTTCTCCACACTTGTCCCTTTTCTCCATTACAAACATCGTGGTGGCTGTGAAATGGTGTCTCGTTTCTGGTTCTGCATCTGGAACACCCTCCCTTTCCCTGCCATCTTCACACATTGAAAACCTGTCTTTGAAATAGCACCTTCTCCATAAAGCCTTTTCTTGATTCACCCCAACCAGAAGAAATTATTTCTTTTTTTAAATTCTTCAAAGCATTGCTTCTCTCTCCTGTGGTGTGTTTCTTTTCCTCATGTTGCATTTCCTTCTCTATGTTTTATCTTATCATTACGCTACAATATCTCAGTGATCTTTAAATCCCTAGACTTGAAGTCCTGAGGATGTATGGTGAGGCAAGGAGGTTAGAAGGCACATTATGATGTGTACAAAAGAAAAATAGTAGATGTTTGTGTCTTTTTATCTCTCTCTCTCTCTCTCTTCCCCCCACCCCGTCCCTGTGTGTGTGTGTGTGTGTGTGTGTGTGTGACCTCTGATGGTTAGCATCTGATTCTTTTGCTCTCAGAAGCAATATATACTTGGAAAGATTATAGAATAAAACTGAATATTTATTGTGTTCATTTAAGATCTATACCTTACTCCCCTAATATAGCAGATGAAAAAGTGGAATGAATTCCCCTTTTTCCATTTCTTAAAACTTTTAGTGTTTTATTAGAGTTTTAGTAATTGGCATTTATAATCTTTGAACAGAAATGTTTCGATAGTGCAATGAATTTTGTGAAATGAGGTTTGCTACTATGATTTTCTGTTTTCAGAGGAAGAAAAGGTGGCTTTTGTTAACTGGATAAACAAGGCCCTGGAGAATGACCCCGACTGTAAGCATCTCATACCCATGAATCCCAGCGACGGCAGTCTTTTCAAATCCCTTGCAGATGGCATCCTTCTTTGGTGAGCTGAGCACTGGGTTGAGGGAGCTATGTTCTTACAGTCGCCGTTGATGAGCATTCAATGAAAATTACAATTCAGCAAATCGGTTGTCTTTTGGAACTACTTAACACATAGCTACCTAGGTCTTGAAGAGTTTATATCACATAGAAAATTAAGTGCTATATGTTTTCTAGAATTTTCTTTCTAATGTAATTTCTTAATTTTCTGATATCTTTTTATTCTGTTACCTTAATAGACACTTTTACCAGGACACCTGAGTTATTCCTCTGATGCATTTTACAGTGTTCACAGGGTTTCTTTTTTCACTTCTCAGTAAGGGCGTGTTGATGGGGACAGGAACATGAGTAAGTGTAGAAATGCCATGAATGTTGCTGCCCAGCCTGTCCTCCCGTTGTCTCTGCAGGCTGCTTCTGCTGGCTCCATTGTGAACTCTCGAAGGGCATGTCTTATCTTTGTTGCATGTACTATAGTCCCAGCACAGTTTTTGGTACAAAACAAGTGTGTGTGTTTTTAAAGTTTATAAATATACAGAAAACTTAGAAGAAAATAACCATCACAGATATTCTTATCACCCATACTCAGCCATCATTAATATTCTGGCATATTTCCTTCAGTCTTTTCTCTGTGTTTTTACTTGAAAAGAAGGAAAACCTACCATGAGTACAGGATCTTAGTTTTTGGGACATTACATGTAACGTATACTGTGGCTGGATGAAGGAGAGTCCCACTGCCCCTGCCTTCTATCCAGCGAAACCACCCAAGGGAACGGGCTGGCAGAATCAGCGGGGAAAGAAACCCTGTTGAGCTTGACTCTGGGCTGGCAAGGGGAAGAGACCTGAGAGGTGCATAAGTGGGAGGCCCCCACGGGCCACACACCCCTCCCCTCGGGAGTAGGGGAAGGGACAGTGCCAGGTGGGGAGTTTGACTGGGGCGGCACACCTGTCACATGGTGACGCAGGTGTCCTAAGGCGAGCTCACAGAGGACAGAAATCTCCCGTGGAGCAGAAGGGCAGAAGCTGGCTTGATCTTGATTTTCAGTATGATACAGACCAAGAAAGCGGGGCCTCATGAAGGAGGGAGG